CTAGTTATCTTCCTCTTAGGCCTCCGGTGATGAAAAAACACAAAGAATTAAGTAATTGGGCGGAGCTTCCGTCAGAATTGACTCTTTCGATATTCCTCCGGCTTAGCATGTTTGAGATATTGGTAAACGCTCAGAAAGTGTGCAAATCATGGCACCGCGTCTCTAAGGATCCCTCCATTTGGAGGAAATTCGACATTCAAATCTATAAACAAGGTTACAAGCTTAATAAAAACAGACAAGATTACCACTGGGATAGTCTGTGTCGTCACGTCGTTGATCGCAGCCAAGGCGGTTTGCTCGAAATCAACCTCCGCAACTACTGCTCTGATTCTCTCCTCTCCTACATAGCCGACAGGTTCACTCTAGTCACTTGTTGTTTAGGACGTTACAAAGAAATCTTTGAATGTATGAATGGGTGTTTGTTTCATTTTCTTCTTTAGGTTTGATTTGGAAATCTTACTTGCAAGTTAGAGTAACCAGTAGTATGTATGATAATTCTTAATATTGTTTTTTTTTTCTTAGCTTATGATTTAACTTTTGCATGCTGTTATTTGTAGATCAAGTAATCTGAGAAGCCTTGCATTTAAAATGTACTATCGAGTAACAAACGAGGGACTTGTGAACGCAGTCACAAAACTTCCATTGCTTGAAGAGCTCGAGGTCTCATACCCAATGATAAAATTGAATTTGAAAGCTATAGGTCATTCTTGCCCTAAGTTAAAGACATTGAAGCTAATCTTCTCATGTTTTAAGACCAGGCGTCGACGTGAAAATTGTGCTGCCATTGAAATTGCGGAGAGCATGCCCGAACTGCGACACCTCCAGCTTCTTGGAAACGGACTAACTAACACCGGGTTAAACGCCATACTTGACTGTTGTTCTCACCTGGAACACCTTGATTTACGCAGGTGTTTAAACATTAACCTTGTCGGGGATCTCGACGAGCGTTGTTCCGAGATGATCAAAGTTTTGAGACGTCTGGATGATTCAACCGATGATTGTCCATTTAATGTCGATATTGATTCAGATGTTTCCTTTTTCCCTTCCTAGTTTATAAGAACCTCTGAGCAGGGTTGTACCTCGCAAAGACGATGGCAGGTAGGGCTTTCTTTTCCAGTGGCTACGTTTGTTGTTGTACTCGGATCTGTGTGCCATATTTTGTTTAAATATAATCGCATTTGCGTATACACTATGGTTTCTACACAAGAAATCTCACTGTATTTTGTCTATATCAGCTCTCACTAACATTCTATGCTTTCTACACAATTTAAATTGATCTATATTCGGTTTACCGTTTACGCAATTGGTGAAGATAACCCCTTTTGGTAATATATAAAAAGATAAACAACGTTTTAATGGAAAGACGACTGAAATTTTCAAAGAACTAGTCAAAATTTCAACAACATTTGTTAAAAAAGCTTTAAAATTGAAAATTTCAGCAAAATCTCCAGTTTGATGAGTAAATGGTTACACTACTTATCGAGGAGCAGCTACATTCATATTAGCTTTGGCGAAACCGACCCAAGCAACAACGCCAATGGCTAGAATCACCCAACCCATCACATCATACTTCACATCACTACTTTTCTTACCCTTCATTGCCTGTTTCGAAAATTACATGATCATGAGGATTCAGACCATTGAGAGTGCAATTCCATCAAATACTGAAGTCAGAATTAACATAAAAAGAGAGAACCTTTGAGCTCGGTGCTGCGGATGGTCCAGCGTCACCCAATGGTTGTGAGCCTAATCCGTGTTTGTGAATCTCCGTGTGCAGTTGCGGGGCCTGTGCTTAGCACAAAGAGAAGAAATTCAATAAGAGAACAAAATTTTGAAATTGGGGTTGGGGGCAAAATGTATACAATTCAGCTGCAACAAATCGGCTATACTTCGCCAATAAAAGAGTGGAATTTTAAGGTAAGGTTTAGATGCAAAATGCACAATTCAGCTGCAATGTTCTCTTCATATGAAATATAAATCGACAAATCACATCTACTTAGCACAGAGAAAAGAGACTTCTGATTAAAGAACAAAATTTTGAGGTAATTGGTTTAGACTTTAGATGCCGATGCTGATGCACAATTCAGCAGCAATATTCCCTCCCTATGAATCAACAAATTGCATCTACTTAGTACAGAGAGAAAAAACTGGATTAAAGAACAAAACTTCGAGACCAGTTTAGAGACACAATGCACAATTTCAGATGCAATATTCCTTCCCTCAATAACGATTGGAAGATCGAATCTTTACAGTATGCAGATGATAACTTATTGAACCGGGCCAAAACATGAAGTTAATTAAATGACTGATGGTTTCTACTGATTAGGTTTAGAAATAATTCGATCCATAGAAAGGTACCTTGGCCGTCATTTCGAGTGATTTCAGGTAGATTCCATTTTCCGGTTGCTGC